AAACAATTGGGGAATGGCCTTATTCGCTGAAGGACTCGCTCTGGATTAACGTTGAATGAATCCACGGCAGGTCCTCTTGCAGTAAAGGCCCTGTCCAAAGGACTTCCTGTGAATATAATGATGTTAATAGGGTAGTTTATGCACGGAAAAGCACAGAATAACAACTGCTGATGAGAATCTCGATCAAGCAAAGAAAGTCATTTGAAGACGTGAAAAATGGCGAAGAAAATTGAGTTATGCTAGTCACGATGGAATCACCCTGGAGGGGGTAAGGAAATGATTATCAGTCTCTGTTCCGGTTAACGGACGTGGCAAATACTGTAGAGCGTTGCCTCTCTTTCGTCATGGTTTTCGTAGACATCATTGGACTCAATATTTAAAAAAATTCACTTTTGTAGATATTACAATGTGAAAAAGAACAGTCAGAAATTATCAGATTTAGACTGGAAATCTTACTTCCGTGATATCCTTGGAAATTCCTTTCTTCCCATTGTAATATTTTCTTGACAGAAAGACCGGTTTCCCTAGAAACTAGACTTTCCCTATTTTGTTATAATATTAAAGTGAAAAATAAATATCCAAAGTTGTCACGGAAGAGATATTTCCAGTCTAAACCTGACACTTTCTGGCATATTTTTTTTTTTTTACTGTACAGTGTAAGAGGGCACACTTGAAATTCTTCCTAAGTCGCAACAAGTGGATCATTTGGCTCAATCGTGGGAAGAATTTGTACGAGAGGGAGAAGAAAAAATTCCCAGCCTCGTTTTGCGACTCATTTATACTTTGATGGTTCTTCTGGAGGGGATCTTGGATTGGCCTTTTGGAGTCTAGGTTTTCAATCATTTATCAGTTATCTTTCACAATCTTTCCGATTGCAAATCATGCTTTCAACCCCTACTAAATGCGAGTGAGGAAATCGTTATAAATTAATTTGGAAATTAGCAGTATTGTAAAATTATTTTTTGATTGGGTATATGCACCAAGATAGTCAGCTGTGTGGTATTGCTTATGAAACGGATACTCCAAGACCCTCTACGGTAATTGACTGCCGCAACCGATTACAAGAGGCCAGGACCACCAGTGACGTAGCGAGGGAGGAAGTAGAGGGAGACGGGAGGTGAAGTTCTTCCATAGGAGAGAAGCGGAGGATAGGAACTACATCATTAAGGTGCCGATGGAGGATAGACGTACATGTATGGTTGTCAATAGTGGAACAAAATTCCCCCCCCCCCCCCTTCCCCCCCCCCCCCCCCCCAGGAGAAGTTCGAGGAATGCTAGTCCCCTTTAGCGAAATCCTGGCTACGCCACTGAGGACCACCATGAAAGATGATCCAAGGTCAAGTGCGCCGCTTCATTATCAATGGAAGAAAGGAACATTGCATACGTGCAAGATATCTTCCAGAGGGATCGAATAGAGACAAGTCACGAGTTCTCTAAGAGCCTGCATATCTCTTTAAATAATTTTACCGTCGCCTGCTCCTCGCACTTTGTTGAAGGTCGACGAAGCCTTGAGTCACTCTCTTTGAAGGTCTCACCTTTCAATTGTTTGAGCTAAGTACCATCGAGCTTTACTGAAGCGTGGCACACTTGTCCAATTTCAAATGTAACATAATGGTACTCCAAATTTCCTATTCCATATAAATTGCTTCATCGTGTTTATTCATTTTTACCAAGGAATTCAAAGAATTTAAAAGGAAACGCTTATGGAAATATCAAAACGGATTCAGCAATATGAACAAATTATCCTATACATTTCTAAGACCCTATGAAACATTCCCGAAATGAGAGTTCCCAGTGGTGCTGACCAATTACATAATGATCACATGTAATGAACTGCACGAGGTTTTCTGCCACAGGTTCTCTTAGCGTCGCAAGATGCCACATGGTGCAAGGCTTTAAACCTGCACCCCCCACCTTGCTGATCGACCTGCATAAATCTTCTGAGGCAGGACAAGATAACGGACGATTTGGTTTATATAGGTTAGTCCTACACGTGTTACACGGGTTTTATACTCTATAAACAGCAGGAACATACGAGTGTGTGAATGCAGTGCAGAAATCGATTCATGAGCTTGTATGTCATTGCTGTGGTGGGGCAGGACCATATTCATGAATAATTATCTGAACCCTTTTTGCTAGGGATCGCGTGTGCTCATGGTGCCTCTTTGGAATAGTGCATGCAAGCAAAGGAGTCTACAACCAATCTGGAAACTTTTCGTAACCCCTCGAATAATATTATCACTCGAGTATAATATTGCCAGATGTTTCTTGCAAAGTTTCTTTGGAGTACATAGTCCAAACTCCCTCTCTTAGTCCTCACCGGCAGGGATAATAATGAATCGGATAGCTCTGATGATGTCAATGTCTATGGGGTGGCAAGTGAAAGAGGTTCAGCAGATTCTGATGACTTATTCGCGAATGGTCTTCCCAATCCCCAGAGGATACGAGCGGAAAATTCTCCGTATTGGGATTTCAGAAAACAAATACGCGCAAGAAAACCTACCATCGAACGATACTTTGTTTGCAGCAATCAATGACATCTCGCGCTGCGCCGTCATAACCCATACGGATAACCAGGGCTTTGACCATAAACTTTGACTCTTCCAGGCTTATGGACGAAGCCCTGGGAGTTAAGGCAGTAGAGGGAGAACAAAAAAAAAAGAAATAAAAATGTGCAATTTAGACCCTTGTAATCCACATTCGGGGGATTAACTACTCTGTTAAAGATGCCTATCTCTATCCACGCACGAAATTATGTCACGTATGCCATTTCACAGTTTTCTCCTAAAAGAATAGGCGCTTCTCTCAGTCTCGTTGATCCTCTCATGCTGAGAGGTCTCATGATGTGTTCCCTGTTGAGAATAAAACTGCTTGCGGCGAGGAGGGGGGTTAGCAAGAAGAAAAGAGAAAATGAAGGAGGGAAGACATAAAGAATGGGAGATGATGAGTCTTCCAGAAATGGAGTACCGGAAGAGTGTCACTGCAGAAGAGGTAAATGTAGACTAGGGGAATTTTATGGTATGTCCCCCTCTTGTGATTAACCTCTGTTCACCTTTCCCATTTCCTGAGGCTTACGTGCACTTCCCGCGGTCCCTTGGTGGGTACCTCAGAAGTCAATCAACTATTTACGAAAAGTTAAAGATGGCCGATGCAAACTCGATGAACTTAGACTAGGGTCATTAGTAATGCAACTATCTGTCTTCCTTGTTTCTGTCGAAAGGTCATGAAATCGATCATCTCAATTTCGTCGGTAGGAGATATAATCGCCTCCCATAGGCGATTGTAACACAAGGGATGCTGCATCGCAAGGGTTCAGCCTTAGCAAACGGCCAGGATGGAACAATGCTACAGGACGTTTAGGGCCAGCGGGCATCACATTATGTGGGGCTTAGTTTCCAAGACTCCTCCTGCTATGGATTTTCATATCAAGGAAAAAGTAATTGCTCACCCTGCCAAGTTTTTTTTTTGCTCAACTGGCCATGCTGGAAATGTGCCTAGAGGGCACTAATGGGACATCATTTCTTTCGACTAGGATCTGCTCTTAACCGTTGCATCATGAGTTAGCATGATGTAGCTGTTTGTGAAAGTTGAAATTGGAGCCGTTAGAGCTTTTTGAGTCTGCTTCATGCTCCACAGGATGACGTTTACTCGTCGCCAAGAAGTGATGTGTGGTAGGAAAATATAGGATTGCAATAGAACGGAAAAGAGTGACGAGCGAATTTTCGGGAGAACAGAGAGACCTACAAAATGAGAAAGGACATCCACGTATCCGTTCTCCACTATGACCATGTTCGGGTTTCCTCCAATAACTGTCCCATCGATGATTTACAACCGTATTCACATGCAGACTGTCTCCGCTATAACCCATTCGTTCTTTCTCTATACTGTCAGGCATAATTTATCATCCTCGTTTTCGCCATATCAAAGAGCTTGGAACCCCTAGGCAACGCCTTGTCTTCAAGCGCTACCAATCGTTGAAAGTCATAGCATGTCAGGTAAACAATTGTGTAATTTATGAATAATTGGGAACTTTAGTTACAGTACTTTTGTCACTGCTGACTGGATTACAAGTTTAATCAAAGCAAATGGGAGATGAAAGAAATAAAACCCTAAATGCTGTGTTCAGATTACTGAAATCCCCATCTGTTTGCCCAATATTGTCCTAGGAATTAAAGAAAAGATTGGGATGATACTGGAAGCATATATCTCAGCAAGGGATCAGCAACTGGATCTGGTTTGACTGCTCCCAAGAATATTTTTTACATTTAGAGTCCCGATATTCCCCCTACCAAGTCTCAACAAAGCTTCTGTTGGCAATCCCAGCTGGCATTAAAGCGTCACAGCTGTATTGAGACAGATGACATGCTTTCTTGGTCTTCTCGTTCGAAGGAAGCTGCATCGTTCGCTTGGATGGGCCTCTTTGCCGTTTTAAAAGCCTTCCTCTGACCATGGCATCTGCTGTGTTTTAGACTGTATTTGCATATGGATGAGGTTCTCATCACTGAGAGCACGAGACCTTATTCGCACTAATGCCAGCTTGCGAAATGTTGAGGAGATAATATCGGTTTAACATCAATTAGGGAAAAATTTATGCTATAATTAGGCATGCATCCTCCATCTCAAGGATAACCCAGCCACAAAGGTTTGATTGGATGGAACCAAAGAGGATTGATGCTGTTAAGAGACTAACAACCAAGCGGATCCGCCATTAGTCGGATCATCATGTCATCCGTCATCAAAGCCATCTCTTAATGACATAAAACAATCCTACATTTATTATGCTTCGCAAAAAAGTTAAAGAGACATTTGCGTTTCCAACACCCGGGCTCTTGTCAAAGCTAATCATGTTAAGATACGATACAGCAATGTAATTGACATGAAAATTAAGGTTGCCTGATGCAATATCATTTATACCTCACATAATTAACACAGAGCTCAACAACGTGCACGATGATCAGGTTTGCGGATCACATTTCTGCACCCTCCGCGTGTATCCTGAAATGGTCTTAAGGAATGTGGTCACCACAGGCAGCAATCCAGACCTGAAAGCGATGTGTCATGCTCCCACTTGTGCTGAAATGTTTCTGCGGTACCTAGCCAACTTCTTCCCGAGAGCAGTGGTGAAGCCTCCAAGGCGGTGATTGATTTCGACTCGTTACTCGTCGTCCAAATGCGTCCTATGCATGTTTTATGGAGATGAAGTCTGGCGACTTCGCAAGTCAGTCCATACGTGCGATACCTTTGGTGTCGAATATTTTATCCGTTCATCTGGGTCGATATGGGCAGGGATTATCATTCATCAGTAAGTTATTGGACCCATTAGCCCCTTCGTAGGGTCGAACGATGAATCGCCAAACCGCACCGTCGTACCTTTATCATATTACACCCCCACGCTCGAAGATATGAAAGTCACCGGGGTCATCGATGATGCCTGCCCACATCACATGACCCCACCACCTCCATAAGAGTCAATTCTGTCACAAAAGTTGAACCATGACGACTTCCTGGCTCTCTCCACACACGAACTCGCTGAGAGTCTCCATAGGCTGAACCGAGACTCGTCTGTGAACAATACAGACCCCAGATGTCCACGGTCCGCTGCCCAAGCACATAACACTATTCCCGTCGACTCCTGCGGGGAGATAGATGCAGTGGAATGCGCACAACGGGTCGTCTTGCATGCAGTCCGCATTGGAGTGGCCGATTTCTGGTAGTTTGGGTTGGCGCAGGTGTTCCTGTGACTGTGGTCAAGTCCTTAGACAAATCGGTAGCTATCGCCATGCAGTTTATGCTAGTCCTAAGCAGTGATGAAAGTCGATGGCTGGAAGTTTTGAAATAGCAAAAGTAGAGGGATGATGGGTGAACAAACCTTCACCTTCCTCCCACTACCACATCCACTTGTATCCATTCGTAAAAATTCGTTGAGCAATTTCGTCATTGCTTGCAGGGCCTCTTCGGAAATAATTTTTTCAAGATCCTTCAAGAAGTATAGCAGCGGCGTTCCCACTCCCGCAAAGTAAAGCTGTAAAACTTGCGGGAAAGCCATTCCCACTTGTTCCAGTTTACTTTCATCACTGGCCATCAGGGACACACATTTATCGTTCACAGCTGTGGTGGATACATTTAGACGACCTTGCCTTGGCTCTCTGTGAACTGTTACTGTTCGTTAAAAGTGCCCCCGGCGTGTTTGGACCAGGCTTTGCGGCTCCAAGCTTGCATACGACATGCCTCTCAATGTGATCGGCCTCCAAACTTCCAATGGCAATCACCACAGAATCTGGTAATGTGTTTCTATCACCCACGGCAAAATCTAATGGTCTCAAGGTATTGTTCTGGCACTGAATTTCTTGAACGACTGTCAGTCATTGAGCTCTCATCTCCTTTTATCCATCTAAGCGCGTGACATTTTGAATGTTTTACAGCATCTGCTGATCTTTATATTACAGGTCAAATTCACCAGTGTATTATATCCTAACATGGATAGAACATATTTTGACGAAGCGGGTGCCAGCGTATTAGAAATGCAGATAACCCTCCATTTATACTTTTTTTTTATCAAGCAAGGGCTAGGAAAGGCAATTATGGGTGACTTGCACCACAAATGACAAGATATTCAAGTCATCTCCTATATAATCTTGTCCCACTAACAGGCACACAAATTTCAAGGCAGTGATAATTTCCCTCAAAGTTTCAGTCGCGGAGCTATGTGGCCCAAGGAATGTGGTATGAATTCATCCATGATGTATTAATGTAAAAAGAGTGCGTAGGTAGACGAAAACAGATCAACATTTTCGTGCTTTCGATTCCATCGTCGTCACCTTTATGAAGATTTTAGACTTCCCTTTTAAATCTTTCACTTTTTATTGTATTCAGTGTGAGCGGTTTGAATCATACGATTCTTGGACGAAATTTGTCAACAGCCTGCACTGTGACCCATTATCCAGAAACTTGACCCCCCTCCCTCACTTGTGCAGTTTGCGTCCCCACCTAACGTCTTCTCATGGCAACAACGTAACTAGAAGGTATTGGAGTACACCTCGAATCTGTTTGCTAAGCGGATAACACATATATTGTATAATGTATCCGTTCAAATCCGGTTGGAAGAGATAAACAAAGGAAACCGGGTCAAGAGGCCCTTGGGTCGAAGGGAAGAACAGAAACAGTCTGAAGAGGCTCTCGGGTCAAGGGGAACACGCCACGCTGATTAATGGCCAAGCAGGTGAGTAAAGGGGAATGGCAACTGACTACCCTCTTCCTCAGGCTGAGAAGTCTGAAAATATCAGTATGTAACAGTCTCAGTTGGATGATAGAAATCCCTCTTCCCCCCTCCTCCTCCTCCTCCCTCCTCTGTCGTGTCCGCCTGGGTCTGGAGGCCCTGAAACTGGCTGACGTCCCCATCCCTTCTGCCCTCATTTAAATGTCATTAGCGTGGGACTACAAGGACCCGACAACCTCAGAGAAGGATTCGCTTTAACGAATGACTTTACAGTCCGTTGATTGTGTCGAAATCGTGTCGTAGGACAAGAATTTCGCCCACATCCGTCGCTTAGAAACCAATGTACTAAAATTCGACTCGATTTGAATGAAAACGCATACCTTCAGTCACACTGTGAGTGATGGAAGAGGAAGAGAAACGGAGAAAAAAGGCAAGGAGAGGCACCCACGCCCCCCCCCCCCCCGCTCCCACCATGCCATATATTAGCTGCAGAATGACCCTTCCATGTACCCTCTCATTCGTATTCTTCATGAGCGTTCATCAGCGTCAGCGATAAGAGTGCATTTCAAGGCGTGACTCATCAGAGGTTCGCTTTATTACATTCGAGGTCATGTACATAAAAAGAAGCTTCATTGTTGATGAAGCTGCCGCAGTTAGCACCTGAGGACTGACGGAGACGTGAGTCTGGTTTTTCCAATGAAAATATCGTCATCGACGGTTCGTCGTCATCGACGGTTCGCAAACGATCGGTGACAATTTAAGACGTAAGGACAGTTTGTTCTAGTGTTCGGTCAATATCCCCAATATCCTAGTTCGGACTGTGTAGGTCGAACGATACTGGCCTGGAGGGGAGTCAATTACCGTCGAGTTCTGTTTGGCTTCCTCCTTTTCTTTCTTTTTTGCCTTTCTTTTCTGCGACGACCTCATCCTCTTCTCGGTTGCAAGCGAACACACGGAATGAAAAAGAGACTGAAGGATCTCCCAGTCCTGATACTGCTTCATTATCGGTGCATGTCGTAGGTGTCACTTGGGGCTCCTCTTTCTCATTTCTAGCCGGGAGATGAGGAATTTGGCGGAGAAGCAGAGAAGAGACAAATTGAATGGGTACATCCACGAGTTGGCGGGCTTGGTCCCAACCGTATCCCTGGCATCAAAGAGACCTGATAAAACGTCCGTCCTTCGCCTTGCTGCCAACTACCTCCGTTTGCATTACGGTATGGATCTCCATGTTATTCATGTTGCATATGTAACAACTTATTCATATTATACACGTACATAATGTGCCAATAGGACGCAATTATGACTTTAAGATTATAAAGAGGCTATTAAGATAATAAACCAAAATGATACAATTCAGTGAGATCTAGTAGATAGACTTGACAGGAATGAAGTTTCACGCGAAGAAAGACTTGTGACATGCTTCACCTCATATGATCATTGCATCGATCGCCATTCCATGGGAATTCACCAGATGTTTCATATTTTCACGCGCTAATAGGTGCTGAAATATGCACATAAGTATGACGGAAAAATTACTAAATATGCATGATAATTGCAATCCCATTCAAATGTAAAAAATATGGAAAAATATGCACTTTGAATCCCAATCTTGGAAGCGAGGGGTTACAGCGTACTTTTCCCCGACTTTTTCATGGAAATTTGGGGAGGAAGAACCATTCCTCAAAATTGCTCAAGCTTCAATTTCGACAATTTTTCGGCTGAAAATGAATCAGATATAAATGAATATGCAGATTTATGCATAATTCCACAATACCAAAACATTTTTAGGTACAATTTTTTAAATTGCACCAACCGCTTTCTCTCTCAAAAAATATGTGCTCCTATCTGGGTCTATGCCCCTACGATGCTACAGAAGAAATATACAATTCAATAAAATAAATATCTTCCCTATCCATCATAAGAAGACGAAAAGCCGCTAATAGGAATACAAATACTCGGCCAGCCATTGAGAAAGTACTCTGGTCCGTCAATATACCATCGTGGAGACGGAAATTCGCCGAATCACGATAATCCGACCGGGTTCGGTGCACGAGCGGTTCGGGCTTTCCATCGAAACGAGGAAGGCAGGGGATCGAGTCAAGGTCGCTTTCTCCCATGCATTCATGGAGAGTGTCTGCATATGGTGGGTTAACACACTCACGTCATTCTGTGTGTCATGTCAAGGAGATACGGGTGCAGTACTCATCTGCAATCACTCATACCAGTTGTGGACCAAGGCAACCCGTTGTCGCCCCTTGTTGAGTTGCCCCTAAGGCCACCTACAGGGCCTTATTCAAGAGTCCCTGCTGGGGAGATTGTCATCTCGGTTGTAGTGCCTGGGGCAAGCAAGATTCCTTACTCTCTGTATATCGTAATACCCAGTGGCGTATGCGTTCGCTGCATGTCTTGTCTTGAAAGAAAATCAAATCGATCCAAGTCTGAATGAAAAACTGGCCTCCCTTAAAACACATATATTTTGATATCAGTAATAGCCCAGAGAGCAGAAGGGAACAAAAGAGAAGAAAGGCAGCGCAAAAGGCCATTCGTATCCGGGGCTTGACAAACGATTTTCTCCTCTGAAATCCAAAATCGCCGCTTTTCCATGACTTATAGGCCGTTTCCACTCCTCGTCCGCACCCTTATCGGAGAGATTATAAAGAAGGGTTATAATGGCAGGTCTGTTGTTGGCGGAGAGGCGGGACAGAAGATGGCCGGAAACAGCGTGCATCGAGCGACTGCTACAAGCTTCTCACGCCTTCCTCCTCGTCCTCACTCAATCCGCCAGGATCGTCTACGTCTCCCAATCCGTCGAAGTACTCCTCGGATATCCTCAGGTAGGACCTTGGGCATCGTCTATTGAGACTTCTCATTCAGAGGGTCTGCGAAGAAAGCCACGCATTTAAAATAGAGGTACAATCGACGCTCGATATAGCGAACTCGAAGGAACAGACTAAAAGATTTCGCTATAAGGAACATTCGTACTTCGTAAAAAAAAGTTATGTAGAGGTTCGTAATATCAAGCGTCGACTGTATTTGTATGCAGTCAAAGTGAAGGTGGCATGCATAAGGAGAAAAGGTAGGAGCCCATAAGATGTATTATGTAAGATGCAGGGTGACATGCACTGGATCCGTTTAAGCTAAACTAATCTGATTTCACAATGGTCCCCTATGGAAATCAGTTTAACAGAGATAAACTTTTCCCATAGACACCCATTATGATAAAGAATGAGTTTAAAGTTAAACGGATTTGGCGCATGTCACCCAAAATAGCTCATTTTTTTAGTCAGAACTTTGTAAATAGAGAATAAATTCAGGGGAGTTAATTGCTACAGAGTGTCAGATATACCTTCAGGGTTCCAGGAAATTACAATAATCATAACAATTCTCCTCCTGTAATCCATTCATAACCAGCAAAATGACTCGTAGTTGATAATTTCAGCAACTTTCCTGAAATTTAAGCTTTGTACTCCGATATATTATAATATTCCAAGCAAGAATCCTTAATAATGTTCTTTCCAGAACGTTTACGGATGTCTTTCCACTACATATCCTTATATTTATTTATTTCACCGAACACGGTTCCAGTGAGTACAAGCACAGAGATGGTTTTTCCAAAGTATTCTGGTGCTGCAGGTTGCTTTGAGCCTGAAGGCTCTTGGACGTTTGTGAATGTTTAACGATGTAGAAGAGCGGAAGCCGTTTCCAACGTTTCCATTATGGCCAGACCTTCGTCCGACGTCCTTCAATGAAATGAGCAGTTGTCATTCTTACTTTTTCGGTTTAGCAGTGCCAAGAGAAGGGGTAGAGTCTGTGAATTCATCCCTTTCCTTCTCTCCTTGTGAACGGTACACTTTTACACAATTATTCACTGACTCCGTTCTTCCCCTGTCCTTGTGACCATAAATTTCGACTTCGTCATAATTCCCTGCTGCCTTGAAGGGCACGAATCTGGTTTCCACACTTACAGGTCAGGATAGCGGCATGACATTTATCCATGGCGAATTTCGCAGTGAAGAAATGTCTTCGCTTCTTGCGAAATCCGCTAATATTTACGTTTTTGGTATGAGGTCCTCATATGAGTGCAACGCTTGCAAAGGAGAGAAAAAAGGGTTTTGAATTGCTTGGAAATTTATCTGTTTAAGCTTCCACGGTAACATCGGACTTGCTTAGATTCTGGAGAGATGCCTTTTGCATCCCAGAGGAGACATACATAACATCATTTCCATACGAGGTGCGGTAAGGAGAGTCCGATGCAATTCGTAGAAAGGATCCCCTCCCGTTTCTTGTTTATTAGCTGTTAATTCCCCCCCCCCCCGCTTTTTTTAAATGTAAGTAAAATATCCCATCAAATGACGGTGAGGCATAACCTGGAGTCTGATTTCAAACTTTAGGAACCATTATTGAATTTTACGTTTACATCTCGAAGCTCCAGAGGAACAAAACAAATGGGGGGCGGAAACAAAAACAAAATTTATAAAGCGAAATCGCCCTTCCGGAATATCGATCTCATGCATCGCGGAAAAGGAATGGCCAAAATTTTTACGAGTCCTGATGTGGACGATGCCAATTAACCTAAGAGGTGCTGCTTAAGTTTTATATGTGACAGCAGGAGGAGGAAGGTATGAGATTGGATCTGACCAATGCATAGACCCTGCTACCCTTAACAGATCGCAACAGCTGCATTGCTCTTTCTTTTCTGCGCTTGATTTGTTTGCCATCGCCCAACAACAACGCTCTCTAGTGCTATGAAATATTGAGAAAATAGTCCATGTGACTCCCGAGTTTCATTTTAGGCCAAAAGATGATTTATATATGGTCCCATAATTTCCGCTTCCCCCATTGCTTTATAACTTATGCTGCAGACCGTTTCTCGATGGCTCTTTCATCTATGGAGATTTTTCAGTCATCGTAATAAGAAGCCAAGCTTTCCCTTTCGTTTCTCCACAACAATGAGCAACGAATTATGGTGTCAATCAGCAACAATTGCGTTTTGAGTTGCACCAGCGCACCAGATGGAGATTCTTTCTATGCAAGGAGCATAGTTGCTCTCCTCAGCTATTTTAATTCTGTCGTTCTTTCCCCGGCACATGCGCCTTTCCTATTGTTTGGCTTCTCTCTGGGAACCGTTACATACCATCGGTTGGAATTACCTCTGCATGAATCTATTTATGGCTCTCTCCTGGGGAAAAGGGGACTCTCCATTCCTTGAGAAGGGATGGAGAGTCTCCTTTTCAATTTCGCGGAAAGGAATAGAGACAGAGAGACGCGGAAGTTGCGTTGTATATTGCATGGAAAGACAGAAGGGAAGGGACAGAGAAAGATGATATTGGAAGCTGAGACCGAGGAGAGACTTCTTTCTCCTCTCCGTCCGATTCATCAACTCCACGTCGTCTCCCTTGCATTCTCTCATATTTCTCCTCCTCGGCTCTGCTCAAGACCGGCTTATTTTTTCTGCATACTGTTATGCACCATAATTGAAAGCACATCTCTTGCAAGGGAACAGTTAAGTTACCATTCGTGGTTGAACAAGTGAGGTTCGTTGCATCATAATAGAAAAGCGAGTTATTCCAATAAGTCATATTCCGATTGCATGCTTGGTTCTGTATACAGTCGGCTCAACATATAGGAATACTCCTAGGACCAGCAAACTTTATTCTATAATTCGGAGTATTCCAATAACCGAAAATATCTGCTGTATGGTATCGTAAATCGGGATCGTCCAATGGTATTCCAATAAGCGGTATTTCATTATGCGGAATCGACTACATTTCCAAGTCTTGCAGTTTCCCAACCCCTCCAATTCTGAGTCCCCTTATTTCGGAAAATATTAAAAATGGAAGAATGAACTAAAGAGAAGCCCGATAAACATGAAAGGAATCTTGCAAGTTATGCCTATTGGCAGTGGCGTATTTTGGCTGAGGAGTCAGGGGGGGCAGGGCAACAGCACGGGGGCCCCATACCCTACCCTAGCGATATCAGGTGGGGAAATTACCATTACCTCCAAGGGGGCGCCAGGGGGGGCGGCTGCCCCCTCTGCCCCCAGTAAAATACGCCACTGCCTATTGGAGAAAACCGCTTTTTTTCGCTATGCTTGGTATGATTAGCGATTAGGATAAAAACAAGGAGCAGCGTATGTCATACTCCTTGTTTTTATCCGAGAGAAGTTTGGCTTTCGGTGGACAGTGCTAGGTAGACGAAGCCAATGCATATGGTGGGGGTGAATTCAGTTTGAGGTTTAGGAAGAATGCATCGCCTTCGTCATGATGCTCACGATTGACAGTCGCTAATCAGTGTCTCCCTCACGAACCTCGCCTCCATTCACTTCTCCGTCATGCAATCTCTCTCCTCCCTTTTTCCTGCTCAACATCACAGGTGGAGATCATGGGACGAAGCTTGTTGGACATCCTCCATCCCGATGATCAGGAATCTGTGATACGTCACCTCACTTTTCCTCTCGGTTTGTCCTCAACTATTGATAGTTATTACTAAAGGGTAATCAACGAGAATTTGGAGTGACGTCATGGATCGATACCTTCAAGACTTCGATATTTTCCTTCTTCAAACATTTTTCCTCGTAAACCGAATGCTGTCGAAATCCGAACAGGGAGACATCGAATAATTCTAGGACCTCTCCCATCTGTCACATTTTATTCTTACATTTTCCAATGACGCATTTTTATGGTCTATACCACCACCAGAATATATCGGAAAGTACACATTCGTCCATCATACCATAAGGGATTGTCCAGAATGACCTTCACGCGGGGGCGCCGGCCCTTGGGTGCTGCAGTAATTACGTGGGGAATCAAGGAAAACCTCAGTTGTACTTAGATAGAAATCCAGATATAAGTGAACAGATGTATATACCATAGCTGCTCTGGCCCAGGTGTGCCGAATACAAATATGATATAGTTGGTAGGCCCAGACATGCAATTACGTTACACGACAGAGTTGAAAAATCCTTCAGTATCCATACCAAGTGATGCGCGAAAATGCACCTTCTGCAGGTTTCTATCGATGTAACTCCAGATTTCCGTGGGATACCCCATTTCTTGTTTTCTTTTTTATCAACCGTCTTGAAAAATCATGCTGGCTGCTATGTTTCCTTCCACTCCCTACCCGAACAACTCACCAGGCGAGGAATCGAAGAAAGGGGCCCGTGATTTCGTGTGTCGAATGGCGGAACGGGGTCTGTCCCGTTCGCGATTGGGTTTCTCGTCCGTCTTCGTGTCTGGCCACCTCCGAAGAATGAGAAGTACAAGAAGGGGAATCCACGGTCAGTTCCTCCCTCATTGTGTGAGAGAGACAGCTCGAGAATGGATGAGGTACTCCAGCGTGATAGATGACCTTTGCAACTTTCCCTTATACTTCTGCCCCTCCCGTTCTCATACTCTGTGATTATATCTCTTTTGCTCACTTGACACGAGATTCGGCAATCTCTCATCCTGCTTTGTGCACAGGAGGAGGAGGAGGCTGGTTATTGACGGCTTTAGTGAGGAGAAGTAGACCCCCATCTCCCCTCCCTTTCCTTGAGATGACACTCCTTCATGCATCTCAAGACGAATACGTGACCAGGCATGCTTGGGATGGCATCATCATCAACGTCGATCACCGGTATCATGGCATGCTATCTTTCTTCCGCATGCACACACTAAGTACGAGAACGCATATAAATCCTTGCTTCGTGACAATCCATTTCTACCATATCATCACGTGGGATCAGCAAGATGTATTAACTAGTCTCGATTGGAAGGGAAAAATCCTATATTTTCCTTAAGGATGATCTCCCAAGTCTGTTGAACGTGTAGTACTGTGAATGAGCCTTTTTTTATGCCACTTATGCGCCCTGTATCAAAAGTGACATTAAGCAGAAATCGCCTGATTTAATCAAATGTGGCACGTTGAAGCTTCCTACCCGGTTGTGACGATATAAATATGATATGAAATGAAGTAAATGAACATGAACATGGGCACACGAAGAAGAGCTCCTGATAGACAAACGGACACATCCCGTTTCCTGCTTTTGAATCTCGTCCTTGACATTCATCTTTGCTTTACTCTGTCTCCTGTAGGATCTCAGTCGTGGCTGGATATACAGTCCAGGAAGTCCTCGGAAAGAATGCCTTCACCTACATCAATGCCAAGGATCGGGAACAAGCCTTGGCCGCCTGCAAACAGAGTCTGTTCTCTGCCTCTCTTTTCTCTTTTATGAGGTTTCCTCTTGGGAGCTATTTCGTCCCATAATTGAGATTGGATCGGGGTCATTAGCACCTGATCAGCCATAGCATGATCCACTCTCGTTTCCTTCCTACTGTATGGAACCCGTTTTCTCCTCTCGTGTTCAGTGTTCTACGAGAAATGGGGAGTCCTCACATATCGGCTGGAGACGAAGAGCGGAGAGTACATATATCTGAGAAGCCGAGGATTCATTGAAGTCCAGGATCTTTATTTCATCTGCATCAATACTCTCATTAGGTAGGTCGGAATGCAACCCCATGTCAAATCTCTAATGCAAGAATCCCCTCCTGATGTGTACAGTAAATATGACTCCATTCCCTGGGTTGATGGGACATGACAGGTTCTTCCCTTCCCTCTTTTCAATTAAATTCTTGCCTTCTCCTGTATGAGTATCTCGTGGCGCCACCTGCTTTTATAATTCTTCCCTTCTTTTCCTCATCTCTTTTATTCATAAGCCTTACTTTCCTTGCAGTGCGAAGGAGGGGGAAGAAGAAGCGAAGAAACAATGGAAGAAGTTGTACGTTCTCGCGTCTCCTTCGTCTGGGAACACGTCACGGTCATCCTCTTGTCCATCTCCATCTCCAGGAAGCCCTCACGAGATCCCTTCATTCTCTGCCCTCTGTCCTCCTTCTTCCTCTTCATCTGGTCTTTCCTCATCTCTCTCGTCGTCTTCATCCTCTTCTGCCTGTTCAGCGTCTCTTTCTTCACCTGATGCCGTGAGTCCGTTCTTCCGTCTTCTGCTACTGTCCACATGGGTGGAGGCTGAGATTCTTTCCTTGCAGCAGAGTTGCAGTCAGGATTCCTGGGAAGGGAGGAAGAAGTTCAGTCCTGGTACAGTGATTCCATCGTTGCTCCATGGTCATTATGACAATGATCATGAACATGAGCATGAGCATGTGCCTCTACCCGATATATCCGCCACTTGACGTTTGGCAAACATGTCCACTCCAGTCCAGTCCAAAGGTATCTTGGCAGTGCAACCAATTGTGATATCAGACCGTACCTTTATGTTTCGATTTTCGTGTGAACATTTGTGTGTTTGTGCATTTGTGTGTGAGTGTTACCTCGTCTTCGTATTTCGGGCGAGTATCCTCGTTCTCACACTGATCTCAGATGTCCTGGTCAAAAATCCCTTTTCTTCTCTCCTACGATTCTGTCTTCTTTAATAAACTACTACTGGTGCAGCATTCAAATGAGGCTCGATTGATTGATGCCAGGGGAAAAGTTGCATAATCAACCAAGGGGGAACGGAAATGCTGGGAATAGGTGAGTCCATTCGTCATGTCACGATCGATGACCCACCCGTGGTGATTTCACACCTTTATTTATGCTGAGGGCACCTAAGTTGAGGACCCTTGACCCTGAAAAGTTTTGAATACGGAGAGCCTGCGAGAGGGTAGGCCCGCTTTCCCTTCCGGCTTGGTAGTTCCTATCTTCATAAACGGGAAAGGAGTGACGGACACGCCTGTATACAAGACTGTCATATCTGAGATCATCAGCAGGATATTTATCTACCAATGACTTTTCTGCTTATCACAGAGGGAATACGGGATGAAAAGAGGTGGAGTCTCTCCATCTTACTATCATCCATTCATCCCATTATCACCTTTCCCTTACAGTCCCCCTTGGGAGAAGACCTTATACCTATTCCCTCCAGTTACTTCTCGCTTCTTTCAAGACTTCTCAACTGGAATTAATTTCTCTCCTCCCAACTAAACTCGTCTTCTAGGGAGGCTTAGTCTTCTTACCTCGGGAGAAAGGAAAAATAATCTCAGAAATTAACGAGGCCTCCGCGGTGGGAAATGAAAGAGATGAAGAGGGAGAGGGACTTTATTATGCCAGTCTGGCTCCGGTAGAATAGTTATTTCTCTCCTCCTCTGGCTCAGAATGACTTTCCCGTACTTCACGACCTTGATGCCATCATCTTTTTTTATTTCTCTCAAGAGACAGAAACTGAATCAAGTGGAAGAACGGTGCATATGCCCTGTCTACGGCATCATCTAACCATTGTTGTTACTGTTGTCGGCATTTGTTAAAATTGAGGAAATGTCATTTGAAAGGGTCTTTAAAGGTATTTCTGCAGAGGAGCACTTCGATCGATATTTTCATTTCTGGACTGGAATATTGATTTTATTGAATTCATACTTCAAGCCTCCCCTTTTGTCTATTCAATCGGTCAACGACCACAGAAACTGCATGTACCTTCAACTTGCATGTTTGCTGCGTTCCTCGCAAGAAATGCTAGCTACTTCTTCCTCCGAAATGGAGATGAAGAGCTTGAACTATAGTGTAGAAGCTCTTTGGCTTGCCAAGGGGTTTAAGGAGTCAATTAAGGCACTTCGTCGCTAGACACCAGCAGATATTCTCTCAGTGACAGGATGCATACGAGTTGACAGGACACACGAACTGCTACGTACCAGGAGGTCTGGCACAGGATACACATGCGTGAGGTGCGGAATCGAGAGAGTGGGATGAAATTGGACGGAGCTCCGATGGGGAATGGAGATCAATGTATTCTCTCAACCCTGCACTGTTAGCAAAAATGGTTCAGTTTTTATTAGGACTGTCAATTCGATTAGATTAATCGACCGCATAATAGATTAAAGTATTAATCGTGATTTTAAGATTAGTCGAAATTGATCGAATTTTAATCGACACCCAAGTCTCCCCCTGAATGCCTCTTTTTCCCCTTAAAATTTGACTGTGTAGTTCATAGTTTTGCAAAACAACCGAAAACGAATGCTTTATAAAAGGAATGAAATGTAATGATGGCTTATAGAAGGTTTTCGCACTGCTCATTCTTCCTCAAAAAACGACATACTATTTTTGGAAAAAAGGGAACTCACAAAAACGAAGCCATCGCTTTCGGATTATTCCAAAATGAAGCTTCCTGACCCATTCGCATCCACAAGCTTTCTGGTATGCATCACGTGTCCTTCCGCCTAGCCTACGGCCTAGAAAGGCCTCGCGCGTCACTTACAGGTAAGGTAGCAGGGGCCTTCGGCAAAGAGAACGAAAAGTCACTGGATGCGAATGGGGCAAAGAAAGTCGTAATGAAGAAGCTGCAAGGGAATGCGCAGAAGGAATAGAGAATTTTGGCAGGAACATGGGACAGGAGAGGCAGGAAAGAGGCTAATGTAAAGACAGGGGAGTGAAAGGCGTACGTAAACAGTAAGTGCGCCAGCGAAGGTCTGTGGGATCCCCGGTAGGTAACCGGGAGAGACGGAAAGCCGGAAGCAGGCAAAAGAAGAGGAAACGAAAGGGTGAAATCCTCTACTATTCTTTGCTTTTTCTGTTCTTCCATCCTGTGTTGCCCGTGAATCGATAATGAATCTCTAAACCTCCACGAAATGAAGTAACACTCTACTTCCAAACATTTAGGTTACGTTTTTGCACCCTACAGGGGTGGACTGGTTAAATGGCAAAAGCCCTCAGTGCGTTTCTTTGCTTACGTTACACTATTTATCTGGCTAAGTTGTAATTATTCTCTCTCCGACTGGAATGTGTCACATGTAGATTGAAATTGTGTGCTTATGGATAGTAAATTTTGTTAGCAATTGCATCGCCTTGAATCACTCCCTAATACTCGCCTAGGTGTTGGGCATGACACAAGCAGAATTATGCCCTACGTCTCGGACATGGTTCAAGGAGGAACTAAGGGATCGATAAAAATTCGATTAATCGATTATATTTTTTAATCGATCGACAGCCCTAGTTTTTATTCCCTAAAGGGTGTTTCAATTGCAACTCATATTTATCCTTTGCGGGTTACATATTTAGCCTTTTGATAAGTTAATTCTAAAAACATTTCAATAAGGTTAAATATAAGCCGACCTGAATTAATATGCAACCTTCCTAGTATGCACGTTACCATGAAGGTGAGAGGATCTTCTCTAACCCTATTGAGTGATCTATATGCCTAACCCTAATTTCATCAGCCAGTCTTCGAGAGGAACAAATTAAGGAATGATTTCAGGAACACTCATCTTACTAAGATTCAGATGATCCTAGTGGGGAAATTTTTTTGCTTATGTAAGCGCTCCTGTTTTGGAAGACTTCCTTTTGGTTTAGGATCCAGGAATCTGTCTCAAATATGGGAATAAGAACGGAGGAAGTTATTCGCTTTCATAATGCCTATAATGAGGCAAGGCGAGAGACACACCGAGGTCACAAACGTACCTGTGAGGTACTTGTGAAAGAGGGAAGGACTATTCTATGTGCTGTGGGAAGCGGTCGCTCCATAACTCCATTTCGTGGTCTAAAAGGGAACTTTACATTACACAAATAACCCTTGCAAATGGTGTTTCACTGTCATCTATACCTTTTCTCTAACTCTGAAGAGTTCAAAACCTGAACACTTTTTGGTAACATCCGATTCCTATTAAGAACTTTCATTGGGGATAAATATGTAGTCCCAGAAGGATATATTCCCCTAGCAAATCTCAGCCTGACCGAGAACGACCTAGACTCAGCCATCTCACACATGTATGCCGCAATACTAGACGCTGCACCTCTCATAAACCGAAAGATCAGGAAGCACAAACCCTGGTTCGACGAAGACTGCAAAAGAATGAAGAAGAAAACCATCTCACTACGATCTGAAGCACTCAATAATCTGGCCCCTCCTTGTGCATACTTCAAAGCACAAAAAGAGTACAAATCCCTCCTAAGGCAGAAAAAGGCATCCTACAGTGAGGCAGAGCTCCTAAAAAAGCTAAATTCCTGTGGGTCAAAGCCATGGTTGCTCTGGGCGCAGAGGAGACACTCTTTCCCGGCCCCAGTTGATATCGACCAATGGTCAACACATTTCTCCAGCTTGCTAGACCCCCAGAGGTCCCCTCCTGACCTATCGACAATCCCCGATGAACAGACAGAAGAATATCTGAATGCCTGGTACAACAAGCCCTTCTCAGAAGAGTCGGTATTTAGGGCGATCATGTCCAGCCCCAATAATAAAGCACCAGGGACCGACTCTGTCACAAACGAACACCTCAAAGGCTCCGCTTTGACATTAATCGGCTTGTGGACAAAACTATTTAATCACTGCCTATCCTCTGGGACCCTACCCTCCTCGTGGAAAACAAGCATGGTGAAGGCGCTCTATAAAGGAAAAGGTGCTACAGATGACCCAAACAACTATAGAGGCATAGCCCTACTGCCTAGTACAAGAAAGATCTTCACAGGACTCATTAACAAGACACTGATGGACAACTGTGGAGCAAAACTACCCGACGAACAATACGGTTTCAGAAGAGGATGCGGGACATCACAACCTCTAAAAATTCTTATCACTGCCATTGAAACCGAACTAGCTAGAACAAGAGGGAAAATGTATGCTGCTTTCATCGATTTCTGCAAGGCCTTCGACACGATTGACCGCCAAATTCTAATAAAGAAACTTCGGAACTCTTTCGAAGTACGGGGAAAGATCCTACAAGTACTTAAAACCATTCTAGAGACGAACACCATCACCGTCTTTGACGGCTTGCGCACATCCTCGCGCATCAGGCAAACCCGAGGTGTCATCCAAGGAGACACTCTCAGCCCCACGCTCTTCCTTTTCTTCATTGCCGACCTGGTCCCCAAAATCAGGGAGATCTGCCCAAATGTCCGCATTTTGCTATACGCGGACGACGTCGTGATGTTCTCCCCGCAGAGAGAGGATATCCAAGCTTCTCTCAACGCTTTGCACGCATGGTCCCAAGAAAATCGCCTTGATGTAAACACAACCAAGTCAAAAATCATGAAATTCCGAAAAGGCGGCAGGCTGGCCAGAGATGACCGTTTCTGGTACGGGAAGGACCCCCTAGAAATAGTAAATTCCTACGTGTATCTTGGAATTGAACTGCAACCATCCCTCTCATTCACCAACCATGTGTCAAGAAAAAAGCAAAAAGCACTAGGCGCTATAGGAAGACTGACGCAC